TTTTCAAAACAACAAGGCCAAAGCAAGCTTATCCCTACAAAATCATATAGTTTGGCCATGCTTCATTTTCATCACACAAAATGCCCCCATCATGCACAACCCCGATGACAAGCCGAGCAATTGGTTCATACTTTTTAGCACGCTTCAGCTTTTTCAACCCTCACGCAATAGATGAGCGCAAGCCATGGATATAGCACTATAGGTGGAATAGAATATAATGATGGAGGTTATGTGGAGAAGACAAAAAAGGAGAAAGTCTCACATCGACGCGGCTAATCAACGGGCTATAGAGATGCCCATCAATTGATGTCAATGCGAGGAGTAGGGATTGCCATGCAACGGATGCACTAAGAGCTATAAGTGTATGAAATCTCAACGAAAGAAACTAAGTGGGTGTGCATCCAACTTGCTTGCTCATGAAGACCTAGGGCATTTGAGGAAGCCCATCGTTGGAATATACAAGCCAAGTTCTATAATGAAAATTCCCACTAGTATATGAAAGTGACAACATAGGAGACAATCTATATGAAGAACACAGTGCTACTTTGAAGCACAAGATATGAGACTCACTACATGAAGAACATGGTGCTACTTTGAAGCACAAGTGTGGAAAAAGAGATAGTAACATTGCCCCTTTTTATTTTTATTTTCTCTTTTTTTAGGTGGGCTTCTTTGCCCCCCCCCCCCCGCTTTTTTAGGCTTCTTTGGGCTTTCCTTCTTTTTTCATGGGGCAATTCTCTAAAATGATGATCATCACACTTTTATTTACTTACAACTCAACATTACAACTCGATACTAGAACAAAGATATGACTCTATATGAATGCTTCCCGCGGTGTACCGGGATGTGCATTGATCTAGCGTAGCAATGACATCAAAAAAAGGACAAGCCATGAAAACATCATGCTAGCTATCTTACGATCATGCAAAGCAATATGACAATGAATGCTCAAGTCATGAATATGATGATGATGGAAGTTGCATGGCAATATATCTCGGAATGGCTATGGAAATGCCATGATAGGTAGGTGTGGTGGCTGTTTTGAGGAAGATGTAATGAGGCTTATGTGTGATAGAGCGTATCGTATCACGGGGTTTGGATGCACCGACGAAGTTTGCACCAACTCTTGAGGTGAGAAAGGGCAATGCACGGTACCGAAGAGGCTAGCAATGATGAAAGGTAAAAGTGCGTATAATCCATGGACTCACATTAGTCATAAAAAACTCATATACTTTTGCAAAAAGTTTATTAGCCCTCTAAGCAAAGTACTACTACGCATGCCCCTAAGGGGATAGATTGGTAGGAAAAGACCATCGCTCGTCCCTGACCGCCACTCATAAGGAAGACAATCAAAAAAACACCCCATGCTTCAACTTTGTCACACAACGGTTACCATACGTGCATGCTACGGGACTTGCAAACCTCAACACAAGTGTCTCTGCAATCCACAACCACCCGTTAGCATAACTCTAATATCACCATCTTTATATTGCAAAACTATTGCAAGGAATCAAACATATCATATTCAGCGATCTACAAGTTTATGTAGGATTTTATGACCAACCATGTGAACGACTAATTCCTGTCATCTCTCTATATAGATATAAGTGAAGCAAGAGAGTTTAATTCTTTCTACAAAAGATATGCCCACGCTCTAACAAATATAAGTGAAGCAAAAGAGCATTCTAAAAATGACGGTTGTTTATATGAAGAGAAACAGGCAATCCAAACTTCAAATGATATAAGTGAAGCACATGAGGCATTCTATAAATCCATACTCAAAAGATTTAAGTGAAGTGCAATGATCATTCTATAAATCAACCAAGTACTATCTCATAGCAGCATGGTGCATAAAATAAAAATAAAAACCTAATTGCAAAAGACGCTCCAAGACTTGCACATAATGCATGAACGAAACAAATCCGAAAACATACAGATACTTGTTGAAGAAAGAGGGGATGCCTTCCCAGCATCCCCAAGCTTAGACGCTTGAGTCTCCTTGAATATTTACTTGGGGTGCCTCGGGCATCCCCAAGCTTGAGCTCTTGCCTCTCTTCCTTCTTCTCACATTGAGACCTTCTCGATTAGACACTACATCCACACAAAACTTCAACAGAAAACTCGGTAAGATCCGTTAGTATAATGAAGCAAATCACCACTCTAAGTACTGTTGCAAACCAATTGATATTTTGTTTTTGCATTGTGTCTATTGTAATATAGCTTTTCCATGGTTTAATCCACTAATATAAATTGATAGATTCATCAAAACAAGCAAACTATGCATCAAAAACAGAATCTGTCAAAAACAGAATAGTCTGTAGCAATCTGAACATCCACCATACTTCTGGTATCCCAAAAATTCTACCAAAATTAGGAAAAATAAACAAGTTGTATAACAAGACAGTGCAAAAGGAATCAGAACCAATTGACGTTCCAGTTAAAAATGTAAAATCGTGCACTACAGCCAAAGTTTCTGTCCTGCACCGTACAAACCAACAAGCATTGTAAACATCCTAAAGGCAAACCTTGGCACATTATTTTTATAATACAATGGAATTGTACAAGGGGATAATTATTTTTATTGAAAAGTTTATGTAATTAAGATTCACAAAGTTCCCATGGGCATGAACAAAGTTCAAGGACGTTCCCCACTTTCACAATGTTCGTCTCTCTCACTTTCACTTCTCTTTTTGAAAAGTTTTGGGTTCCCCTCTTTATTTTTGTTGTTTTTAATCTATATGAAAGCACTCGACAGAAATAAATGACTCTCTAAAACTTTCGGGTTGTCTCCCTGGCAGTGCTTTCTAAAACGGCGATCCATTGAACTTAATGCTTGGTTCCGGTCTACGGACCTTAATCGTGGAAACAACCACTCTATGACAACGGAGAAGCAGGACCATAGAATGAAATATAAATTCGCGTGGAGGAGTTTCATAACTTTAGGGAGAACCGCCTACAAAACACTTATATCAAATGCTATGAATACAATACAAGGTAACTGGTATTGCCGTCGCACTGGCACACTTTATATATTCTTACCATGAGCGCCTCAAATCTCTCCACACCTAATCTCTTCATTGCAGAAAACACAACCTATAGTCTTACTCGTGTTCTTTACTTTTATTAGCTCTTATAGTTGTTACTACAATTCCCTTTATATTTGTCAAGCTGGTTTATCCGTGATCCAGGACAGTAACGATATTTGCAAAAGTTCAAGCAGTTACTTCACACAAGAAGCGTGACACCTTGTGTGTGGGACAGAAGCGCTACCTATAAATACTCTCTTCCGCTCTTTGTTGTGCCGATTACTCATTGGGATACTTCTGTGAAAGTGCTACACTACCATGTTTGGCTTGCAAGAGTCGGTGTTGGTATATTACAATATTTTGTGAGAGATTAGTCTAAATTACGTGTTACGTGTTGGTGTAAGGAGTTTGGACTCTTGCATCCGGAACGGAATTCTTATAATTATCTTTCTACCTTTTATAAAAATATGAAACACCCTTTGGTGTATTATTGAAATCAAGACATACCATGAGAAACCGTATTATGAGGCATAAAGTTGTTATCCTTGAAATAAATACTAACCTTGTGAGTTGCTTTTTCTCTTATACTTCCTCCGTCGCAAATTGGATGCAATAAGACTTTATATTATGAGACGTAAGGAGTATATGCGAGTTGCATTCCATCCAGTGGCCGATCATTTTTTACGACGCACGTCCCATTTAAAAGGAACGGAACAAAGTATACGTCACACACACACACATACACACACACAAATTGTTCGGTGCGCCATTTTTTTTTCTTTTGGTTTTGATGTGGGAACGCAAGCTAGATTCTCACTTGAAGAGGGAACGCAGGAAGGCTGCTGGTACCACTACCGCTTGGCTGGGTCAACACGGACGACGAGAGGAGGTGGAACACGAAGCAAGGAGGAAGAACCAGTGGGGCGGCTGCAACGCAGACGCAGCCAGTGCGAGCGCCGCGTGCGTGAATTGCAATTCGCTGTCGTTTGGCCGGGTCACAGCACAGGGTCAAACCTTCCGAACCCACCCCCGTTTCCCTGTCTACGCATGTGCTGATGGGTGTGCGTGCCAACCACCGCACCCAACAACTACCCAACCAATCCCTCCCTCTCGGAGTAGCCTCCCACACCGCCCCCCTCCTCGGCCATCCTCATCTCGCCTGTGCTCTCCACACGACCACACCAAAAAATCCAGACCTGCCCGCCCGCCTCGCCTCGCCTCCTCGTCTGCCTCCTCTCCTGCGCTTCAGTTTCCAGGTTACTCTCTCTCCTTCCTCCCGCCTCCTCTCATCACTAGCTCGCCGAATTCGATTTAGGACGGGCGGACGGATTGGTTGATTGGTTACTCTGCAAGATTAGCATCGCCCTCGTCCAATTCGATTTAGGACGGTGTGTGTCTGGCCGGTCAATTCGTCGATCGTCCTGCGAGATGAACATCACAGCGAGTGGGATCGAATTGCGATTCCGAGCAAATCTACCGGGATCCTTGCCCCTATCATTTCCCCTGATTGGGTGCCCGGCTTCCAGCCGGCAATCATGGAATGAAATTAATTTTGCACCATCTCGTATTTTTTTCATTCCAACCAAGAAGATGAAAGAGCCGATACTAATTAGTAACAGTCGTGGTTGCTGGGTTGGTTGGTGGGTCTCTGTGTAGTGCGTGTTTTTATAGATGAGTTGTTCGATGACTCAATCACCATGGATTAACAAATTGTTTATGACTACAGTCAACCAATCCGACCATATGCACCTAGGGATGAAATTTAATCAGACTGTATTGGGTTAATCTGTCTATCCACGACCTATCAATTGTGTCGGTGCTAAAGAAGATTGAATTTAATCGATTTCATAAGTTCCGATCATGGACCTCCACCGCAGGACGATTGGCAGCTGCATCCCTTACAGTTCTGGTATATACCATCTCTTGACTCATATTGCTTCCTCACTCACAGGCTAGGTTGCTGTTGTTGTTCACATGGATTCCTTTTTCCAAAGAGCTTTCGGCGACCCAATGTGCTCGGAAGACAGTAATGTTGTCCAACAAGGAATTGATAAATGCCCATTCCTGAGGAACATCAACGAGCCTACAAGTTTTTCCTTGACATCCATTAATTTCCCCGCTCCGGTATGTCCTTACCATCTACCCCTCTTTATCTGAATATGTAAGTGTATGTATGTTATTTATTTGCTTGCTAAACTGTATCATTTTCTGCTCGTGAAGGCAACCGGAGCCAAGGGTCCAATTTTTGAAGACGGGCCCAACTTTGACACGGCGTTTCGAGTTTTCCATGGCAGAGACGGGGTTGTTCCACTTTCAGAAGGAGCCTTTGCACATATTGAGAAGCCTCTGCCAAAGCCCACTCCTGAATTTAACCCCTTGGCAGCCAAAGCAGCTACCATCAGTCTCTCGGGATTCGGAGGCTTTTTCAGCTTCGGTGATTTCTCAAACAAGCGCAATAAGCAGAACTCCAACAAGAAGAATCCCAACAACCTCCCCCAGGTAATTATGGTTTCTCTTTTCCTCGTGCATTTGTGTTAGAATGTTTAGTTCAAATTACCATCCTTTGTGTTAGAATGTTTCGTTATCCTGTCGAACGAGCATTTAGATGAGACCAATTTTTTAGTACCAAAAGAAAGCAAATCTATCTTTGATGCAAGCTTCACATGATATTTTTGAACTGCCATATATGGAGCAAATATTAAAACAAGCAACGAATATAAGGTTATTCCTTAGAACTGGAGCATGCCATTCATTTACCTGATTTTGCTTTCCCTTTCATTTCAGAATAAAGGCCAGTCTAATAACAATCATGAAGCGATGAGCAATGACTGGCTGGAAAATGGTCAATGCCCTCTTGCAAAGTCATATAGAGCAATTGGTGGAGTCGTGCCTCTTGTCGCAAAGCTGCTGACACCCCCAGCTGGTATGAAACTGACGTGCCCTCCTGCGATTGTTGCTGCCCGTGCAGCAATATCCCGCACGGCGTTTGCGAAGGGGCTTCGCCCTCAGCCCCTACCGACAAAAGTAGTGGTGATCGCACTGCTCGGTATGGCAGCAAATGTTCCTCTTGGCATCTGGAGGGAGCACACTACAAAGTTTTCAGTGCAGTGGTTTGCGGCGGTCCATGCTGCAGTGCCTTTCATAGGGATGCTGAGGAAGTCCATCCTGATGCCGAAGAGCGCCATGGCCCTTACCATAGCTGCCTCGATATTGGGTCAGACAATTGGTTCAAGAGCTGAACGTATCAGATTGAAGAGGGCAAAATTAGCAGCAGAGGGCCATGGCCATGAACATGCTACCCGGATTGAAGCTCCGGTGAACCTGAAAACTGGGAGCTCTGGTGCTGTCCAGCTCTGGGACCCGCTTGGCCTCAGAGTCAAAGGCGCCGTGTCCCCAGCGCTGGTTCCGACTGTCGGTGCCATGTATTGATGAGATGATCGTGCTTCATTGCGGCGGTTGTGAGAATTGTATCAGAGTTCCAGAAATTGTTTCTTGTATTCATTGTTGTTGTGTCTTGTAAAGGATTACTGGCTACATTGGATTCTTCTCCCCACTATCATGAGTTGGGTGCAGTCAATAAATTTCACCATGTTCTTTGGTTTCCTCTTTGCAGCAAGGTTGGCTGATGAGCCTATTTCTATGTTCAGAACACAATTCTTTCATTTGCTTGGTCAAAAGCCAGAACATAATAGCTCTCAATCATACCAAATGCAACGGCCAACAAAGTCTACTGCTAAAATTAGTGCTACAACTTTGTTTTGACAAAAGCTCCAGCAGTTGCTTGCTGTGTAAAATAGTACTAGTACATGCGACGAGGCTAGCTGGTTAGACCAGTTGTATGTTCCATGTGCTTTCATTTGCTTGGTCAGATGCAAAACACAACAGCTACGCCATGACACCAAATGTAACGGCAGATAAAGTCTACTGCCAAGGATTACATCATCTTTGTTTGACGAAAGCTACAGCGACTGCCTGCTGTTTGAAATACATGTGACTGACAGGCTAGCTTAGTATATCTCATCGTCTGGGACATGCGGCGTAAGGAACTTCTGAGGGTCCTTGTACATTTCCTCGTAGTTGTACTTAGGCTTCACCCTCTCCGGAACCGGCTCAAGTGGGATAATGCTGTCTTCGTCGATCACACCATCGATGATACCGTAATCAACAGCCTCAAGAGGACCCATGTATCGGTCCCTATCGATGTCTTTCTCTACCTGCTCCAGTGTACGCCCCGTAAAGCCTGAGATCAGCCGGATGACATTCCTCTTGCTAGCCAGAATTTCCTTGGCTTGGACCTCCACATCCAAGGCCTGGCCACTCGCGCCTCCCACGGGCTGATGCATCATAATCCTGGTGTTGGGCATGGCGAATCGTTTGCCCTTTGCGCCACCACCAAGGATTATAGAAGCTGTGGATCCAGCTATGCCCATTCCAATAGTGGATACATCTGCCCTCACCAGCTGCATTACATCGAAGATAGCCATTGTCGCACTGCAATGGAAAACAAAAAAGGTCAAGTCACAAAATGCAACTAGTCTGTATCAACAGATATGCAAAGGCTACTATTTCACGCACTTCACCGTAATGGCAAGGCTAGCCTAAAACTCCTCTCATTCTCCAATAGTGTTGTTTTAGACCTCAAATATTTCAAATAAATCTACACGTAATATTTCAAGTACCCATTCTACTAGTAGTCAAAGTTTCACTTTGCTTATGTCCAAAACTTGTTCAGGTTCCATGAACTAGTCCTTTGGACAGGACTATTCTTGTCCCACCACTCATACCAAACTAGAAGAGGACATTCCAAGTCAACTAACAATAGGGTCTTCCAAGTCAAATAACAGGGCATTCAAAGCCAACTAATAGTCAACTAGTCAAATGTGATATCTTGAACGAGAGAGATGAATGTTACGCACATATAAACAAGAAAAGCATAATTCATAAGGTGCAACAAATATCATTACAAAGTCCAGGCATCAAGCAGAATATTTTATTTTCACAGAAACGAGGGGTCTGTACAAAATGCATATATAGAAGAACTATAATCATATACCCATATTGGTGTAGTACTGAAGAGTTTCATCTAGCTAATCTTATAACAAACCAATAAGAAACGAGCTAGTGATAGAAGCTTACATACTGTTTGATCATCACAGAGAACAAGGTGTTCAATGCAGGTATTACCAAAAAGCTACATTCAGCTGATCTCATATCAAGCCAACAAGTAGCGAGCTAAAGATACAAGGTTAAATATTATTTGATCGTCACAGACAACAAGGTGCTCGATGTTGATATTGCTAAGAGCTTAATTCGGCTGATATAACAAGCCAATAAGCAGCAACCTAGTGATACAAAATTACGTACTGTTTGATCATCATAGAGAACAAGTTGCCCGATGCGGATTTGAATTAGTCACTCCATTCAATTCTAGATTTTAGTTATTGCCTAGATTCAGTGGTTAACTTAGGTGTTACCATAGGTAGATTATACTAGGATTTTTTTTGTCAACCTTTTTTCCGTTTCAGCAATTATGAGTATAGAAACGACCCACTGAATTAGACAATAATACAATCAAACTGGAATTATTTTAGGGATAGCAAAAGTCTAGTTTAATGAAGATAAGAACAAAGATAATATTTGCAATCCAGAACTGTTGATGCGGTGTAGAATAAGATTTCCGCCTCTGCTCGGACCAGAAAATCGTAAAACAAAATTGAATGAATAATAACCTTCTGCGGGGATGGCAAATTACTAAAATACATAAAACGTCTAGCAAGAGGGTGACTCAAGGATAGTCAGTAAAGTATCATTCGGACATTAGTGCAGATTTTAGCAAATGGGTTTATAGCTGGTACAGTCTGAAGGTGTGTCAGTGTCACATTGATCATGGCCAGCAAACTCTTATCCAGCAAGATATTGTCTGATAAAAAGATGGCCTACTGCTGTGAATCTACTTGATGAGTCTACTACATATGCAGGTCACGATTTTGATTAGTGCAGCCCATATCAAATCAAACAGCGGGGAGTGAATACTATCACGAATCAAACTAGTATTTGGACAAAGTAATTTGCCCACAAGATGACCATGTGGGATAATGTAACACCACAAAAGGCATCCCTTGTTGAGATGGTAAATTCAACCCTACACAAACCGAGGGAAGGGAGTGATGCATTGGGAGGAGACCTGAGTGATCCACCGGGGGAGTTGACGAAGAGCCGGATGTCAGATTCGGAGTCCATGGCATCGAGGAGGAGGAGCTGGCTGACGACGGCGTCGGCGAGGAAGTCCTCGATCTCGTTGCCGAGGAAGATGATGCGCTCCCGGAGAAGAAGGCCCATGACGTCACCGCTGGCCACTCCTCCGGGCGCATCCAACTCCGCCCGGATGCCTTGGCCTTCCCACAGGGACAGAGGAGACATGGCCGCCGCCGACGACGCCGAGACCGCGTAGCTCCGGCGGTTCAGCTTGAGGAGGGGATGAGGTTGCGCCGCGGGCCCACGTGCGCAAGCGTATAGCTGGCGGTGCCTGAGGCGGTGAGTGGCAGCCGTGACGGAGAGGGAGGCAGCGGCACTCGCGCTGGTGGCCGCCATGCTTATCTATCTAGCTTCGTGGGTTACGGAGCAGCCGGCGGCGGCGCAGTGCTCCCTGTCTCCTCCCTCTGAGTGTGAGAGAGTAGATGGAAGGAGTGGATAACTCACTAGGACTACTGTCTTCTTCCCGTTTGGGCCTATTCCTTCGTCAACTGGGTTGGGCCGTTGTCTTTTTTTCTTCCCATTTTGTTTGAGATTACAACAGTCTCAAAAAAGGAATCGAGATTGCAACACAGACAGCAGATAATATTCCATCAAAATTAAAAACCACAGCACTTAATAAGCTTACTCACAGTAGTAAAATCATCTTGGTTTAAGGGAATCAGTAGTAAATCATCATCATAAGCTACTTGATCAAAACATAGTACTGCTGGTCAACAACTATGATACGGATAACATGCCCATGGACAGCTAAAACTCTTACACTTGCTTGCCAACATTCCAAAATTGCCAAAAGAACAATGGATAACACAGCAAACAGGTTGGCACCATCAAAGGGCATTCTGGAGGCTATTCGATTCTATTCGTCTGCTTCATCCTCTTCTTCCATGTCGTTCTCAAGATGCGAAAGTGAAACTTTGGCCTTCTTCACCTCCGGCGGCCTCGTCCCAGCACCAATCTCCTCACTCTTCCTCTTCTCGCCCTGTCCTGCATCAACACCATCTTTTCTATCTTCACCTGAGACCTTGCCGTCATCAGCCTTCTCAGCTACAGAATCATCCTTCTTCTCGGATGGTAGCTCCACTCCCTTCTTCAGTGACTGCTCACACTCTTTCAGGAAAGCACGCACATCATCATTCTCTGCAACATGTAGAGCCGTTTGCCCTGCATTTGTCTTTGTTGTGATGTCCACGCCCCTCCTCACTAAATACTTCACAAGATCCAGGTGGGAGTTCTGAGCAGCAAAGTGCAACGCCGTGAAGCCTTTCCTGTTCTTTGCTTTCACAGAGGCCCCCGACGCCAGCAGCTCACGCACCACTTCCAAATGACCTTTCTGGGAAGCAAAATGGATTGCGGCAGTGTCATCCATTGCTGCAGCCCCGACATCAGCCTTGTGCTTGCAAAGGCATTTCACAACATCAACATGCCCAGCCCATGCCGCCAGATGGAGTCTACATGAACAAAACTAACTATGTCAAGGAGATAAAATGAACAGAGAAAACTGACAGGGCATAAACAAGTTCATCACATCACATAATCTGGTGCTATTGCTACTGCTGCAGTAATCGTATTTCATAGCAATGTTTTAATAGAGGGAAACAAATCTATCAACACAAATGAAACACTATACACAGATCAGATAAAAAAATGAAACACTCAGTTTGAGAAGCTGGAAGCGTCCATATACGAGGAATAGATAACTCTTGGGGCTTGTGTGATACTACCTCCGTGCCAAAATATATGACATTTTGGTAGGCTAAACTAACCTACCAAAACGTCATACATTTTGACATGGAGGTTGGTAGAAACTAGGGTTCTACCGGGTCTAGGCCGGAGGTTGTAGGGGAAGGAGGGAGCTGGTCGTGGACGAACTCACGGCCGCCGGCGGCTGGGCGCCGTCATGCGCGAGGAGGCGGCGGCTGAGAGGAAGATGGCGCAGGGAAGGAGGCGGCTAGGGTTAGGTCTCCCGGCTCCCTAAGGAAGCTGAGCAAATATGATTGCTTCTTTGCTTCATTAGATTGATACATCTCCTCTCCTCATATAGAGAGGTTTACTTGACTCCCAAGCCCCTACTAACGATAATTGGGCTAAGCCCCTAATAACGATAAGATAGACTGGGCCATAACTAACTGGACTAAGCCCCTAACATGCCGGTCATAACACTTCTCCCCGCCTGCACAAACAGCTCGTCCTCGAGCTGGAAGGTGGGGAAGCGCTTGCGGAACTCCTCGAGGTGATCAACCGTCGCCAAACACCTCCGCGGCAGCTGGGGCGGGCAGGTCGCTGAGCCCGGCGGTGGCGGCGTCCTCCTCAATGTAGTCCGCAGCCTCCAGGTAGAAGAGTCGCGGGCAGACGTGGCCGGGCGCGTAGGGCTCATCGCAGTTGAAGCACAACCCTTGGCGGCGGCGCTCGAGTTGCTCGGCCAAGGTGAGCCGGCAGAACGGGCGCGCCGCGGTCGCGGCGAGGGGTGCCATGGAAACCTGAGCAGGCCGACCCTGCACGGGAACGTCCGGCCCGGGACGGTGATGCTTGCTGGATGGCCACCGCGCGGCGCTCGAATGCGTGGGTGTAGTACATGGCCGTCTGGAGGTCCTGGGGTCCCCGCGGCTCCACGTCCACGCGGATATGATCCGGCAGACCGCCGACGAAGAGCTCAGCCCGCTGGCAAGCCGTTTCGCCGGGCGCGTGGCACGCCAAGGCTTGAAAGCGGTCGGCAAAGTCCTGCACCATGGAGGTGAAGTGGAGGCGGCCGAGTTCCGCCAGCTGGCTCCCGCGTATCGGCGGCCCGAAGCGAAGGAGGCACAGCTCACGAAAGCGCTCCCATGGGGGCATGCCCCCCTCGTCTTGCTCGAGGGGTAGTACCACATTTGTGCGGTGCCCCGAAGGTGATATGAGGCGAACCAGGTGCGTTCCGACGCGAGCGTGCGTTGCCCACGAAAGAATTGCTCACACTGGTTGAGCCAGTTGAGGGGGTCCTCGGCGCCGTCGTAGGTGGCGAAATCGAGCTTGGTGAAGCACGGCGGTGTCTGAGCATGACCGCCGTGAGCGTACGGCTCGGCGGTACGAAGCAGCGAAGAGGATGGCGTTGGGCCGGTGTGCACAGGTGGTCCGCTGGGAAGCGGTGGCCCGTCGAATCCAGCGTGGAAACCCGCGGCGCCGAAGGGCCCGCCGTTCAGGGAGGGTGCCGGCTGGTCCGCGGCCATGGTGAAGACTGGCGGCGATGACGTCCCGGCCAACCAGGCCGGAAGCTGTGACGGTGAGGGCGGGAACCGCACTTGCTGAATCGGCACGCCCGCCGACGCGGTTGTAGTCAGCCCGATGCTGGGCGGCGAAGGCGCCTGCAGCGGCAGCTGCTACTGCATGGAAACGGCGGAGGCGGCGAGCGCCGCGATGGCCGCGGCCGGCCATTGTGGCCAGAGCGGGGCGGTGGCGGGGGCTGGCTGCAGCTGCCCGACCAGCGCCACGGTGGCCCCTGGGTGCGGCGGCTGCCAGGACGGTGGCGGCGGTAGCTGCAGCGGCCCGACGAGCGCGGCGAAGGCCGCCGGGGGCGGCGGTTGCCACGACAGCAGCATTGGCCGGGTGGCGATGGTTGGTGACGCGTCCGGCGGCAGCCGTAGGGCCCGGCCAAGTAGAGGCATATCCCCTGGACGGCTGTGACGAGATCGTTGAGGACGCCGGTGATTTCTGCCGGGGAGTAGACCAGCGGCGCGGTAGAGGGTGGTGGCGACGGATCGGTGGAGGGGGGAGGCGACTGACCGGTGGAGCCCAGCGGCGCGGTGGAGAGGATCAGCGGCGGCGCGGTGGTGGTGGGCAGCGGCAGAATTGGTGGTGGTGAAGACATGGTCGAAACCGAGCTACCTGATACCAAACTGGTAGAAACTAGGGTTCTACCGGATCTTGGCCGGAGGTTGTAAGGGAAGGAGGGAGCTGGTCGTGGACGAACTCGCGGCCGGCAGCGGCTGGGCGCCATCGTGCGCGAGGAGGCGGCGGCTGGGAGGAAGATGGCGCAGGGAAGGAGGCGGCTAGGGTTAGGTCTCCCGAGGAAGCCGAGCAAATATGATTGCTTCTTTGCTTGATTAGATTGATACATCTCCTCTCCTTATATAGAGAGGTTTACCTGACTCCCAAGCCCCTAATAACGATAATTGGGCTAAGCCCCTAATAACGATAATTGGGCTAAGCCCCTAATAATGATAATTGGGCTAAGCCCCTAATAACGATAAGATAGACTGGGCCATAACTAACTGGGCTAAGCCCCTAACATGCCGGTCATAACAGAGGTAGTAATATTCACATCCGCAAAAAAAGTAGTATTCAAACAGTTGTCTTCAAAATTACCAACAAGGGCAAGAGATGGAACATGATGCTTTGTCCCAAAGATCCTAAATTCGCAGGATAAGTGAGACCACAGCTAGCAGATCAAAGCTGCTAAGCAATCTAATGAAAAAGGCCCAAGAGGTAGCAGCACATCTGAAAAATTAAAACAAGCTTGAAATATATACCTAACTAGAGGAACAGAGGACAGAGAGAAGTGCCACCGTGTTGCAGACTAATTTGAAAAGGCAGCAGCTACGGCAAGGCACTATAGTGCGTCACTTAGGATATAACATCACAATAAACACTGCATCAGTGCATGGGCCAATAGCTAAAAAAATTAGGGCGCACTTGGTATTAACTTGCAGCACATAATCAGTCAGCCAGCATACACAAGTAAACATAATGAAGTAAATAAGTAAGCACTTTTTTTTTGCGGGGTAAATAAGTAAGCACTTAATCAGTCACATCACTATATCAAAATTACACAGTATGGTGGAGCTATCAATCAGAGAAGGAGCTATAGCAGAATTACAGCATTAATTAGTTTTCACTGTTGTACTATAACATTATTACTGGTTAGGGCTGCTCACGAAAGGAGCAATGCAATATACTCCTAGTATTTTTCTTTCGAAAGCGAGGTTAAACCTGGCTAATAAAGACGGGTAGTGGATAGTATCAAGGACTAGGAGGAAGAAGAGGGGAAGAGGAAGGGAAAGGATATTGTTACGGGGTGCGGGAGAGGCGGTCTCTGGAGTTGAGGGCGAGAGGGTTGGACTCGCAAAGCGACTCCGCCGCCGCCGCATCACCCGACCTCGCGGCCTTGTGCAGCTGCAGATCCTCCTCCTCTCCTCCACCCCGTCCTTCTCCTCCTCGGCCTCGATCTCTGCCTCCTCCGCGCCCCCCGCCGCCGGCTCGGCGTCTCCCCATCTCTCTCACACGGGCTCGCGGCAGCGGTTGAGACTTGAGACTTTGAGAGAGAGTGAGAGGAGAGAAGGAAGGACGAAGGTGGGGAAATCGTCGGGCGGAGGACGAACTTTTTTTTTAGGGCTGGGCGGAGGACGAACTCAAGCGCCTACTGCGGTAAGTTTCGTAATGGGCTCTCTCAAAAAATAAGTTTCGTAATGGGCCGGGCCGGGTCGGAGCTTCTATTTTATAGGAAAATTCCCTCCATGTTTTTTTAGAACATTCCCTCCATATTTATGAGTGGCTAGAGACCCTCAGACCCGCATGCACATGACATCCTCGTGTGAATTGTTGAGTATATATGTTATGTGCATATTGTGTATTGGACCCGCCTTCTAGTTTCTTGTACAGTTGAGGTCTATGGCCCACCTTTATACATCATATATACGTGTTTATGCACGATCGAAGAGCAATACATCATACAATTCACATATTCTACATGGTATCAGTTTCCGGGTCAAAACCCTACTCTTCCGCCGCCGCCGCCACCGCCGCACCGCCGCGCCGCTCGCGCACCTCCTCCCGCGCCGGCCGCCGCCCAGCCGCCGCCCGTGCACCTTCTCCCGCGCCGGCCGCCGCCCCGCAGCTGCCCGCGCGTACGCGCGTCCCTCGCGCCCGTGTTCGCGCGCGCTCGCGTATCACTCCAGCCGCGCATTGCTCCTGCCGCCAGCCCCACCCGTGTTCGTAAGTAGCCGTCTTGGCCAGTTGATATAGCTAGCTTAAAGCTACTTTGCTAGCTACCCGTACGTCAACTAATCCATCCACCTCTCTGCCTGCCTGCTTGGTCTAGCTAGCTTCGTCTGCGTCTTAGCCAAAAGCACCAGCTAGTGCATCCGGAAGTCAGCTTCGGTCAGAAACATCGGCCTCGTCGGACATTACTCACGAGTCGAAGGGACCTCCAGCCGTCGCCAGCCGCTGCCACCCGCGTCACCGAAGCCTTCTGCCGCTGCCGCCCAACCGCGTCGATCGCCCCCGTCGAAACAGCAATGGCGTCATCAGGCCCATTCGCCGGCGCCCCTGCCGTCCCGCCGCCGGCGCCCTACGGCGCGGTCCCGACGATATACGGGTCGGCCGCCACCTACGACGCGCCCGTTCCCACGTACGGGAATCCTACGTACGGGGCATACGGGACTCCGCCCGCATCTACGTACGGGGCTTCGCCTGCATACGGGACTCCGCCCGCGTACGAGTCTCCTGGATACTGGTGGGGGTCGTCAACAGGTCAGCACTCGCGCGTTGGGCAGCAGCCAGACAGCGCCCAGCACCTGCAACATCTGTCAGCGGGCCAGCAGGTTTTTCCGGGGCTTTATGGAGGGTACCCACCGCCGCCGTTGAGCGGCGGCTACGACCTCCCCGTGGTGTCCCCGTCCCCCTCGCCGGCCCTGCCGCCGGTACCCTGGGACCCGGTGCTCCTCACCGGGCTGCATCTCGCTCCTATGCCGAACAACTACACCGGAGGTGGTGATTGGTACATGGACACCGGTGCCACGGCTTACATGTTTGCTCATCCTGGTAACCTTTGCCTCCTTCACTCCTGTCTCCACCGACCGCTGCATCATTGTCGGTGATGGTTCCACACTTCCTATCACACATGTTGGGCACACTTCTTTTCTTTCTACTTCTACTCCATTATTTTTGTCTAACACACTTGTGTCACCTCATCTTATTAAGAATCTCATTTCCGTTCGTTGTTTCACTCGTGAAAATCCTGTTACCGTTGAATTTGACGAGCTTGGTTTTTATGTTAAAGACGCTCGAACCAGGATGGTACTTCACTGATGTGACAACCCCGACAAGCTCTATCCGGTGCACTCGCCTTCATCCACCACCGCCGCACCGGTTGCTCTCTCCGCTGGCGTCGATCTCTGGCACACTCGCTTGGGTCATCCCAACCCCGTCACACTTCGTCATATTCTTAAGAGTTTCAGTTTCAGTTGCAATAAGATCGAGGATCACACTTGTCATGCATGTTGAGTCGGCAAACATGTTCGCCTGCCGTTTACTAATTCCACCACCATTGCTTCTTCTCCTTTTCAGTTGATTCATAGCGATGTGTGGACTTCTTCGGTTCCTAGTAACTCGGGCTATTTATATTATCTGGTCATTCTTGATGATTATTCTCATTATGTGTGGACTTTTCCTTTGCGCAGAAAGTCGGATGCACTCTCTACCTCGACGGCCTTTTACTCCTATGTCCGCACGCAGTTTGGGTGTCCCATCCTTGCGCTTCAGACGGACAATGGAAAAGAGTTTGACAACCTCGCTTTTCGCACTTTTTTGTCGCATCACGGCACAGTTTTCCGCCTCACATGCCCGTACACTTCACAGTAGAACGGTCGAGCCGAACGCGTCCTTCGCACTCTAAATGACTGCATTCGCACGCTCCTGTTTCATGCCAACGTGCCGCCTCGTTTCTGGCCGGACGCACTCGCCACTGCATCACTACTTCTTAACATTAGACTCCGCCGCCCACGGTGGAACTACGCACCTCACCATCTTCTCTTTGGTACGCCCCCGTCTTATGACGACTTGCCTATTTTTGGGTGCCTTTGCTATCCCAACACTGCCGACACTGCTTCTCACAAGCTTGCACCTCGATCTGTCGCTTGCATCTTCATCGGCTACCCCTCCAACTCAAAGGGATATCGGTGCTACGATCCTGTCTCCCACCGTGTGTTCACTTACCGGCACGTTTACTTTGATGAGCATGTGTTTCCGTTTCACCAGGTACCCCCAGTTGTTCCTCCCGCCACTGGTGACGCGGGCTCCTCGACGCCTCTCCCAGGACGCTCGCGCGCCTCTCTTGGCCTGCCCCCGGCTTTGAGGCGCGCCCCCCGCATGCGGCGCCTCCTACAGCCGAGGCACTAGCGCCCTTGGTGCCCCGGTGCCCGCGGCCCCCCCGGCGCCCCCGGTGCCCCCAGCGCCTGTGGCCGGTCCGGTCACCCGCGCCCGTACGGGCGTTTTTCGCCCGAGCTCGCGCTACGCCTCGGATGCCTACGTCCATGCGGCGTCCACCTCTGAGCCGTCGCCGTTGCCGTCCTCCGTTCGAGCCGCTCTTCGTGACCCGCTCTGGATGGCTGCGACGCAAGAGGAGTTTGACGACCTGTTGTGCAACTGGACGTGGCAGCTTGTTCCCCGTCCCCGGCACGCTAACGTGATTACCGGGAAGTGGGTCTTTAAACACAAGCTCCATCCTGATGGTACCCTTGATCGCTACAAGCGCGCTGGGTCGTTCGTGGCTTCCGACAGCATGCTGGCATCGACTTCACCGACACCTTCACTCCGGTCGTCAAGCCCGGCACGATACACATGGTTTTCCACCTTGCGGTCTCCCGTGCTTGGCCGGTGCACCAGATGGACGTCTTTAATGCCTTCCTCCATGGTCACCTCAAGGAGCAGGTCTTCTGCCAGCAACCCACAGGGTTTGTTGACCCGGTGCTTCCCGACCACGTGTGCCTGCTTTCGCGGTCCTTGTACGGACTCAAGCAGGCTCCGCGCGCTTGGTACCAGCGTATCGCGATGTTTCTCCATTAGCTTGGGTTCCGCTCTGCCCGCTCGGACGCCTCGCTCTTCGTCTATCATCAGGGCTCTGACACGGCCTACTTGCTGCTCTATGTCGACGACATCATCCTGACGGCATGTACGGCTGGTCTCCTCAGTCAGCTCACGGCTCATCTTCGCGCTGAGTTCGCCATCAAGGACTTGGGTCCTTTGCACTACTTCCTCGGTGTCGAGATGGTGCGCCGTCCGGATGGCTTCTTCCTTCATCAGCGGAAGTACGCTCACGAGCTCCTCGAGCGCGCCGGCATGCTTAACTGCAAGCCCGCCGCTACGCCTGTTGATACGAAGGCCAAGCTTTCTGCCACGGATGGTTCTCCTGCTTCGGATGCTGCTTTCTATCAGTCTATCGTTGGTGCTCTCCAGTACCTCACTCTGACTCGACCGAAGATCCAGTATGCCGTGCAGCAGGTGTGTCTTCATATGCATGCTCCTCGAGACGTTCACTGGGCTGCCGTTAAGCAGATTCTTCGCTATATCTGTGGCACTTTGGATCTTGGTGTCACGCTTCACGCCTCCGCCGACACCGCCCTCACCGCCTACTCCGATGCAGACTGGGCGGGCTGCCCTGACACTCGTCGCTCCACTTCGGGCTATTGTGTCTATCTTGGACCCTCACTCATCTCGTGGTCATCCAAGTGGCAGCCTACGGTCTCTCGTTCCAGTGCTGAGGCTGAGTATCGTGCGGTGGCCAACGTCGTCGCCGAGTGTTCATGGCTTCGCCAGCTGCTTCAAGAGCTCTCTTGCCCTGTTAACCGTGCCACGGTGGTCTACTGCGACAATGTCTCGGCGGTCTACCTCTCCGCTAACCCGGTGCATCATCGACGGACCAAGCATATTAAGTTGGATATTCATTTTGTTCGGGAACAGGTGGCACTTGGCCATATTTGCGTTTTGCACG